CTTTTACAACAATACCTAAAAACAGGTTCGTGAAGTCCTATAAGTAACGATAGCCCTCATTCTACGTAAGGTACCTTATATTGTTTTTTACATAGAGCTCGCAAAGAGTTTGACATGGATATGGTGGAAATTCATTGTAAAACATCCATCCCGATGAACATGACCTTATAAATGAAAAAAACGATGAAACATGAAAATGTTAAGAAAACAATTTATCGAATGAAAAGGGGTTGATGGAAATCAAATGAACCGTCTAAACCTAATTTCTACACTTTATATTTTGTTGTATTATGAAATCAATGTGGATCTCATTTAGTGTTCCGATGGGACGTCGTACGTCTATTTAAAGTTTGATCGACGCGTGGAAACTATTTGTGAACTACGTATGTATTAATATTAGTTTTGTATACTATATAAAACAAGACTTTTAGACGTGTTACCTACCAATAGAATAAGAACAAACATTTATATAAAACTACGATTATGAACGTGAAAATGAACTGTGTAAAACTTTCGACCAAAAATTGAAAATTGCCACTCATAAGGATGTGAGACCATCAAACTGAAAATGATCGTTCTAGATTAGATGAAGAAGGAGGAAACGTATTCAGAGGATACAAAATCAAAAATAAGGACAAACATTAATTAGTCGGAGAGGTCCCGTACAACGTTAACACAGCAGAATTGACAAGGACAAACCAGAAGAGGAGACGTCAGGAAAAAAAAGGCACAAACGAGCGATCGTGAGACACACACACAGACTGGTGCTAAATTGTAGACCGTGCTCTCGTATCTTGCAGACCCTACGTCTGTCGCAATGAGAGGCACACCACTACCCCGATGTACTCCGATGAAAAATTCCTTTCTGTCAGCTTTGGGACTGCTCCTCCTGAATACCGCAAACTCATGTCTCCACTAAAGGAGGCAGACTACGACCACGATGAAATCGATTTACAAATCTGGCCGTAGTACTGTAAAAAGCACGACCAATCATTTTAGCCGGCCCGGCTAAAATAACTGGATGGCCTACCTGCCTGTCAGCCTTCCATCTGTGCACAAACTTATCTCGTGCCCTCATTGGTCATGTGCGCGTTCGTGTGTGTTGGAGGAGGGGCTCTGTAAGGAAGTAGCAGATTTCTTCCGGCGGTGTATTTTCAAATTCTAGCTGGTTTCTCCAAAATTACCTACCCCACCTTTAAGTACAGTACTTGAGCAAATGTACTTAGTTACATAACATCACTGTATACATAAACACATAAAAGCACACTCACTGGCCTGTACACTTTGTACTCTACTAGACAGCCTTACAAAAAAAACTTTTCTACATGTCTTGTTATGGCCATGAATAATGCCGATGGTTAATCAATGAAAAGTACTGGGGATACAAGAGTAACAGACAAGCAGCGAGAATTAGAGCAGAACTCAAAGAGAGGCCTGCAGAAAGCTGACAAAGGAATAAGAACAGGCATCCAGACATACAACAAACAGGGGGAAAGTATTTATACTCCTTGATAAATAGGGCTATTAAAACAGCATAGAGGCAAGATAGGAAGTAGGATGAATTGGGAGGGGGGCGGGGAGATAGTGAAGACAGGAAGGGAGTGACGAGCATCGAGAGAAATAGAGGGAGAGAGCGCAGGGAGTGAGTGTAGAGAGCCGAGAGGAAAGAGATGAAGAAGAATGGGCGGGGGTGTGTGGAGGCTGCCCTGTCCAATACACTCACACAAGCGTCTAATCTTATGTGCAGTATTGACCATTAGATTGCCAGTTGAATAATTCATGAAGCAAGAGGTGAAGGGGCACATACTTTCATGCCAAGTCTTTGAGAAGCATGTCAATATGAGCTGAGAAATGACACAGTATTGCAGACAACTCTGAAGTAGCGCTTTGTCTCTATAACCCAATGAAGGACTGACACACACACAGCGCACGGCAGAATGTCATTGACTATGATCATTCACTCCAAGGCCTTTCTCGTGGAGGGTATTTTGACTCGTCACATTGGGAAAAGCACAGGTGTAAATAATCAAATAAATGATGGTTGATTTAGTTTCAGGGTCCTGATACTGTGACATGGTTTACTGGGAGACTTCAATACAACGGAGCCATTGTTTATCATAAGTAACACGGTTTTCCGTCCAACACTACCTCATAAGTGTGCTGTGAAAAAGGCGTATTACCTCACCACAAAGTTAAAGTAATAACTGTATTGTTAAGTTAATTCAACGAGCAGAAAATGAATACATTTATAAATGAATGAACGACAACAAGGACCATCTTGGAAATAAGTCCTTCTACCCTCTTGTTTTCTTTTAAATGTTCATTTAGATCAATGTTACAACGTTTTAAGTTTCCTCTTAAGATTATCAAATCAAATGAAAAGGAGGTAAATACAGCAAATTGGTAAATGCTAAAAAAAAAAGCCAAACAGAAGCACAAGAAGAAAAGGGTCATAAAGTGCAGCAAATTAAATCGATAATGTTCATTATATAAAATCTGTCTAAAATAAGATTGAATTAGCCTCTATAAGCAAGTGAGTTTAAAATTCTTACAGGTTGTATTATGATATTTAGTTTATTAAAGTAAATTCTGTTATTACTTTTTTTCTATCCCTTTAAGCTATTTCATAAGCAAAAACGCTTCTCACCACGTTTGTTTTAAATCATTTTAAACTGAATAAGAAATGGATGGATGAATCAAACAAGCAATCTGAAGTCACCTTGTCTCTTAATAGTTTACAACAAATTATTTATCAATGAATTAATCAAAAAATGAAGATAATCATTCGTTCCACATGAATTGACAGTGCAGCTGGCACACACCTGACAGTCCTCTGGTGCGGGTACTCGAGCTCCTGGCCGTTACCAGAGCGCGGGTACGAGAGGCTTCTGGTGCTGCTGTGCTGTTGGTTGATGGGATACTGGTGGACGGAGGCGTTGGGCTGCGATGTGCTGTAGTAGGGGGGGGGGATGCTGTTACTGGTCTCACTGCGATAGTCGCTGTCCCTGTCATCCACAGCGCTGTCTGGGTCTTCATCTGCACAGACGCACATCAAAAGAAAAAGCTGCATCAGTCCTTGTGATGGTGTCATCATAGATTTCAGAAATAGGAGAAGATAAAAGCAAGAGCATGAGAAGAAAAAAAATTAAAAGGGATGATCCCGATTGAAACAATTCTCTGTACTATGGCTATTACAGATAATATAGAGATGAGATGTGAGCATACTGAACCCCTTTTAGACCCTATAGGTCATTCAGAGTGCAGCCATACATAAAGCACATGATGAATATCATTATCGGCTTTCTTCTCAGTCTCATCATCATAACTGCACATAAATCCACTCCTGCTCACCATCAGGACATGCTGTATTACTGTGGTGTCCACAGATCAGAGATGAACATCCCAGAGGGAAGTGATGAGAGACTTTAGCAGAGCTGAATCAGTCAAGAGCGAAACCAGCATCTATTAATCATTCATCATTATCCATCACCGTCTCACGCTCTGATGAAGGTGGCTCCAGCGACGCTTACACCTTCATGGTCATCTGTTTGACACTAATTAAAGTCATCGAACTTTGTTTCTCACTTCAACCGTGTCCCCACGTTTCTCTCTCTTTCCCTCTCACTCACTTCATCAGCTCACCAGCTATCATTAAGCTCTTTCCCTTTTCCTCTGTGTGGAAAGAGAGGAGATGAGTCTCTGCACTTGTGTGGGTGAGTTTGACAGACGCTTATATAAAAGCAATCGCTAATCACAGAAAAAGGACAGAAAGGAAGAGAGGTGGGGAGAGTTGTTTCTTAATGTATGTATACATTTCCAAGTACTCTATGTTTCCTATAAGCATTATGCACGGTTCAATGTTCATTATTGTGGCTCTGCACGGCAGAACATTAAATAGAAATATTAAACACTGCCTCGTGTTAAAGGGTATTTTAAGATAAATTACCCTGAGTAATCCACACACCGTTCATCAGAAATACTTTATACAAAATATATAGATATGAAAGATGGATATTAATAGGAGATATGTCATTTTCTAGAGCAACAAGGAAATCATTCTTGAAAAGAGATTTTGCCGTTTCATTTTCGAAGTGGCATTTTTTTAAGAGCACCACAAACTAAATGTAACTTAGTTGTATTGTTTGAGGGGATGGTGGCAGATATCACAGAGCGGGATAAACAAAAACTATCTGCATGACTAGATACCACAAAAAGGTAAGAGAGAAAAACAATGTTTGTTTTTGGGCATTTGCATAAACTCGCTCTTCTTCTGACATTCTTCTAATCTACACCCAAAAAACCAAATTGAAGCTTTAAGTGTTACACTCCCTGTTTCAAAGCTTTTGTGATGGTTAGAGAACCAAATGTATACAACATGTGATTCTCCAGATACATATGGACTCCAGTGTATGCACAGTATTTGTATATTGTATGTACACTTACTTTGTTGCTCTCCCCACAGGCTCCAGTTACCTGCAATTAAACAGGAGTGTTTTTAGTATTGATTATGAACTGCACTGGTGCCCAAACATAAACATGCATTCACGCAATTAAGGTTCCCAGATGGTGCTGGTGGATGGAAAGAGAGCACGGAGGAAGTGCTGAGTCTCCCAGAGTTTCCACCTGCAGCAGACAGCTGGCTCAGCAGCTCTGCAGACTGAACCAGAGGAAGCTCAGCAGCCTCCTGGAGAAGCGCCTCCGGACATCTGAAACCCCTATCGATTCTTTACAGTGCAGCCATCCTATCCCCCTCCGACACACACAACAACTCATGTGGGGGTTACACACATTATACTCATACTGAGCTTAAGCAATCTCATTACATCTCAACAGCTTATCGCATCATTCTCTTGCTCAGCACAAACAGATGGTTAATATATAGGGTGAACTGCCACTTACAGCACTGGGTTCCTGGTGCACGAAGAGGCCGCTCCTGCTCCTCCTGGTAAGAAAACTGGGGTCAGACAGATGGAAAACTTGACATAGATTAGCTGGTAAATTAATAGGGAGATGCTATATTCAGGAAGTAGAGAAATGTATGTGTAATATGGTGGTTTTGCCAATAAATCATCTGGGCATGTTGGTGAGTTGTGAGGATATTTTAGGGTGCTAAATCAAATGGGGGGACTACTTACATCTTGGTCCCTCATGGCATTGATCTGCTCCAGTTTTTTTGTCCAGTATCGTGCCTCATCCTCAGGGATATCTGGAAACAACACAGCAGGCAAACTCAGTTGACAAACACAGCTCTAATTGAGCTCTACCTACATCAGCCGTTAAAATAGATATGCATTTCCCCTGGAAACACTGCTGTCGTCGTTATAAACTCTGGAGATAAAGTGAGCTAAAACAACCCCAATATTGTGTGACCCAGATATTTTGGCCTGTTAAGATCAGTGACTTTGAAAATGGGCCTGTTCCCTCCCAGCTTCAAAGCCAATCCGCTATAAATAGATCAGCTCCACAAATGAAGGAGTCAGGTGAACAATATCGACTGGACGAAGAGGAAACAGTGAGAAAATGACACCTAATCAATGTAAAGAGGAGCATAGCTCGATCCCTGAGAAGTAAAGGACACAAACGCTCTCATCGACTCACAGACAGTCTTGAATACATATCACTGGAAGCAGGTCAGTTGAATTAATCATTCAGGGATTATTGGTGTTCATAAATCACAGTTTGCTGTGAAAATACATAGACAGACACCATTTATTCAAGTCGGCTTCTCATTCTCTCAAGGACTGCTGATTTCCTATATTTCTATATTTTCATCTTCTCCCCATATTGACAGTTTCTCACTTGTATGTGAATATTGATTTCTCACCGAGAGGCAGCTCAAAGCGTGTGTCGAGCAGCACCAGGTGGAGAGTGGGCTCTTTGGTGCCGGAGATCTCATTATCAGTCATGATGACCTGAGAGTCCAGCGTGAGCCACTCCCCCGGGCCCTCCTGCGTACAGAAAGACATTTTGAGGCCGACACACAAACAACGTGCTGTACAAATGGATGATCGTGATTAAAAACATGTCGGAGCAGCAAATGAGTACAGAGAGTTCAAATACAGTATTTCTCAAGTGGTGCTGGTGGCAAACCTCATTGGACTGCCGGATGCCCCGGAGGGGGATCCACACAGTGCCCACCATGGTGTCCCAGATCAGCCCTTTGTTCCACACCTCTACCGTCAGACCCAGGTCCAAGCGGTTTATTTCGCTGGAAAGGAAGAGGAAGACAAACAGGGGGGTTCGTCAAAAGTCAGAAGAAAAATGTATGACAATTCATTTTAAGACTTCTGTGGAAAGTTGGTAAATGTACTCAACTGCTAGTGAATGTTTGATTTATTTTTTAGACTTATAAAATATTTGTAGTTCAAATGTTCAGGACACGCATGGATCAGCAGTTTAATATTTCAATGCACATTTCTGGACGGCAAATATCTCTAAACATAGAGAGATACAACGTTTAATAATCAAGAGTTATATTGACAATACATATTAATTAATAAAGACTTGCAATATAAAAATATATATAATAAAACATTGATTGTATTAATATTAGTTTATTTTTGACAAGTTGTTATTAGTATTAACTAGAAAAATGCAAAAGAGACAAAAAAACTCTTCTTAATAAAAATAAGAAAATAAACAAAAGACCAAATTTACATTTGACATAGAGTACCTTATGAAAAGCATCTAAAAATAAACTGTAAAGAAATTGATAAAAACTACACCATTCGTCTTTTGAGGTAAAATTACCCAATATTTACAAAAAGAGCAAATATATAATAACATAAAATGAAACATGTTATAAATCTAAATATTCACAAGGTGATTTTGCATTACCAGTACTTTCACTTCGGTACTTGAACCATTTAGCTGACTACACATTATAACCTATTTGCTAAACACACAGTGAAGATGCACATGAATTACTTGTGGGCTTCACTGTGACAAATATAAGACAGCTCTCTGCGGGAGCAAGCCTAAGCGAATCCAACATAAAACATTTACAAGACAGCAGGAAGCAGCAAAAGAAGAGAGAAAGAGAGCGGGGGATGAATTAAGAGAGGAGAGGAGAAGAGTGTGATGAAGGCAGTGGAGGAGGTGATTGTATCGCATGCCTGCAGGGAGGGAGTGGGAACTTTAATTAAGAAATAGGGGTACTGGATTTCCCGTCTCCGTGGTGACTCCTTTTGGGAACGTGCCTGTTTGATGCATGGCAGGGACTGAGGGGGCGCAGTCACTTAAAGGCTGTTTGAAGAAGGCGACGAGGCTTTCTCTGCAGCCCAAACATTACATAATACAGCTTCACTGATGCAACCCCGGAACAACGATCAACGCCTCCAAACATCATACAAAACACACAGGACTCTGCAGTCAGCCTGCCTGCTGCATCCCACATGCTAAAGGATCCTCACCATTTACCGCCCTGACAGCACTGGAAAGACATCATCTCTGCATGCTGAAACAAAGCTCATACAAACTAGTGGGAAAAGCTGCTATTGAGCAAGAATAGGAGGAGATTGGAAGAGTTAAAAGTAAGGCTGAGATGTAAAGAGGAAGAGGAAGAGAAGGGGGAGGGGCTGAGTAGATGAAGATCAAGGAATGGTGTTTAAAGAATTGACAGAGGAGAGGAAGGTGGGGCTGGGAGGAAGCCAAGGTTTGGAATAAGGATGAGAAGGGCAAGTGTCGAGGGATAGCAGATGAAAAAAAAATAGAGGATTAGGCGTTTGTTTGAGGCGGAGGTGCGGATGTGGAGAGGAAGACCTACGTGGAGCAATGTGGAGATGAAGGGCACTTGGGGGAAGGAGGAGAGAAAGAAGAGGAGGGAGTACAGGTTGATAGAAAAAAAGAAAAGCTCTCAAGCAGGAGAAGTGGCGGAGACGATGAAGGGAGAAGGGAGAGGACGGAGCGAGGTAAAGGGAGAAAGAGAATCTGAAGAAGACGAGGGACTCACAACATGAAGTCTTGCTCCCAGCTGGGCAGGTTGCCCCTGACAGCAATGGTTGTGCTCTTCACATTTTGTACTTTTAGAGTCACATAAGTGTTGAATTTCTCTGTAAAAGGAGAGAGGGGGGAGATTAGAAGATAATAATGTAGATATTAGAGAATAGATTAATCTACATAGGAACTGACTGCATCCTTTGCATTAATGGCTGCAGCATGTAATGTGTCCTCAGTCTGCTTAAACATTTATGTGACGTAACAGCCAGTCCCTCCCTTTTTCTATTTCCAGGATCCCTGGTCTTACCTTGGGGTCCGTCCAGCTTGGCTTTCTTCACTGTGGACACACAGAGAGGGACAGTGTCACACACAGGAACGCCATCTGCTTTCACTTCTGAACGCTCATGCATGATCTCTACTGGCTTTCACCCAGAGAACAGGCACCGAGTGGAGGCTCGAGATCCAATAAAAAACACAGTTCTACTACATTGAACTTACTGTAAAAAAATGAATGCTGTAATATCAGCAATATCAATTTACAATCTGTAATAATAATAGTATTTAAACAGCACCTTTCAAAATATTGTACTTTACGACAATTTAAATAATGAAGCTTGGAGGGGTAGTCTGGGCTCATTTGTACCCTTTATGTTTATTTATTTGTATTCTACTATTTTGTATGTTCTTTCCCACTATGATCATGTATGTCATTAAGTATGGTATTCCTGTCATGCTATGTTTTGTCTTTATTATTTCTTGTTGGCTGTTCTGTTTGTCTTCTATGTTGAAACAGAGAAGCAGGATTTCCACCCCAAAGAAGTCGTACTATTGCTAATACTTACACGGAAATAATTAAGCTAAAACATGTTTTAAGATCAAATATAGGATTTCTATTTTAAAGTTATACATACTTTCAATTAGAAAGAGCTGTTAAGATAAAAGTGAGTCACTAAATTGTATGCAATGTACATATTTACATAGCACATTAGTGTTTATACCCAGTGCTCTGCCTTCTTTGTTGTTGCCATAAGGTCTGACATGTTGGCACTGAGTGTGGGGGAAATACATAGAAACAGACAGCGCTGGAACTTCATCAGTGTGGGAAAGAGAAAATAGCATACAGCACAGATTACAAAGGATTACCAAAACATGTATATCTACATCACTAATATGATCTGATTAGAAGAGATTTAAATAGAATACCATTGTTTGAGACTGAACACACATGCCTGTTCAAATGGGACTGTCTCATTGTATAAGCATTCAAGCTCCAGCTTTATCCAACCCAAGGGTTTTCACAGTACATTTAAAGCCCAGGCTTTCTCTCTGCAGCACTTTTTTCCCGGCTTTGACGTAACTCACACATACATTATTAATATTCTACCCACCGCACTCCACCGCGCACACACACATGCTCCAGATCCCCACACCTCACTGCAGGTGTGTACGAAGGTTCACATTAAGACAAAATGCAAACGCAAGCTTAATGCTTCCTGTAAACAAACCAACACTTTTATCGGCCCTTAAAAAAGCAGTGTGATCACCACTTGATGTCTTAGTTCACAATATTCTCCACAGACCCTCCACACTAGAACAGGTTGTCATAGTAACCACCAGGAAATGAAGAGTTGATGGAAAATGTCCCTGAGTCAGCAAGGCACTTTTCTAGTTTCCATTTCTCAATACTTTCACTTTGTGTATTTTTTATGAAACACACACACCCTGAGCTAAATCTGTAGTTTAAGTGCCATGGGGTTACATCAGCAGACGCACGCACGCACGCACGCACGCACGCACGCACGCACGCACGCACACACGCACACACACACACACACACACACACACACACACACACACACACACACACACACACACACACACACACACACACACACACACACACACACACACACACAGAATCACTCACATTCACCTGCGACAAAAAAAAGCTTTTCATCTTTGCTTCCATTAATACCTCACCAACCTTTATGCAAACTTAACCTGGAACACACTTAAACACACACATCTGTGTATTTGCTAAATGTATGCCCTGACACTGGCACAACTTCCATTTGAAAACCCAGAGTAGTTGCAAATAAATGCTGAGAAGGTAAGTAAGGAACCGAGCAATCCTTTACGATGTTTAGGCAGACCACATCGGAGCCTGCTTCGTCCTGTGTTTAAGTGTCAACACTAAAAGAGCCCTGGAAATATATCAGTACATGAGGAGGATCAATAAAAAAAGGAATTGGATTTTCGACAACGGAAAGCTGAAGTTTAATAATACCACACAATCATACATCTCCCTGACAGACTGAGTTATGATGAGAAATGTCCACAAGCTAACAAACAATATGTTTGTCACAACTGGATGTATCTAAGCAACACAAACCCACACATACAAATACGGTCCATGTAAGTGCCTATAACTCATAAACAATAAAGCTCATGATAGGCTGTATCATTAATAAATCGATTGAAATGTAGGCTTTCGCTAAGTAGCCAAGAAAACCAGGTCAAAGCTATAACTATCTATCACCATCTGATGAAATGTCTTGAAGGACATAACAAATCAAAGCCTGTTTGTTGTTGTATTCTTTAATCAGAGGAAGCACAGCACAATCTGTAAGACTGAACAGTACATTTTCTGCGAACCCCATTACTTCATTCAGGAAGTACCTCTGACACAGCAGACTCTGACTTATGGGAATAAGCGGATTGCCAAGAAAACAGAGACTCGACAGGGAATCAAGCAAACCCTTCAACATGAACTGTCAGGGAATGTAAAGTAGGGAGTGGGTGAGCCGAGTTCAGCCATCCGCTGACAAAATGAGAGGGCTGACATGATTCAGAGAGCGCCTATATACATATTTACATATATGTATGCACACATATCCCCACACACACGGATCTGCAGTAGTCTTTGTGACTGCTGACAGAACATCACACCTAAAAAAACAAAAACAAATCAAGACGGTGAGAAACTGGACATGAAGGAAAGCAGAATATCTGCAGGAAAAGATGCCAAGTTTTTCAGAGTTAATCTGTATCTGTGTCTGAATTCTGCTGGGTCTGCAGATGCTCTGAAGAAATGCTGCCTATTCCAGAGGCACAAAGTACAGAGGAGGCCAGAAATAGCTCCAGTCAGGTAAGCATGAATGATGTAACAGGAACAGAAGAGGGCTCTCTGCCAAGTCTCGTAGTCTACGACACTGACAGCCGCAGCCGCTGTTTATGAATGAATAACGGTCCGGGTCTTAATGACACCTGGGACTGACTCAGAGCAGGGCCCGGCAGTGGGTGGACTGGCAGCAGGATATGGGGGGGTAGCATCCATTATGGGCCCGGCGTATAGAAGGTGACTTTGAAACCTCCTTAACTATCATTTTATCCCCACAATATTATCTATGACAAACGTCTAGCCCCTAAACCTACCTCCAAACATATATTTACATGTACTGACTAATTGGGATCAAACATTTATCAAATATGTGAGAGAAGATGAATATGAATAATTAACAGTTTTGGGTTAAGGAGTAAACATACTTCTATAGGTCCTTCACTGCTTAATATCAAGTCAAGTGAGGACAAAATGCAGAACCTTTCAAATTGTCAGCACTATTTGTTCCAATGCAAGATGACACAACACCCAAATAATAAGGAGAAAGTTGTTTTTGCAATTATGCTGATTCAACCCCTATCTGTCCAACAGTGTTATTTTAGAGGGGTCTCCTCTCTCTCTCAGCGTGGATCATACACTCCCCTGATGACTGCAACCTGTGTGTGAGGCTGAAGGGTATTACTTTATGAGCAATCACAGCAGATGCATATTCATGGCATGGAGAGGCAACAGTGTCAGCATCAGGAGCTTTCAGGGAGTCTGGTAGGAGGAGGTGACGCATCGCTTCAGGGAAAACGCTGAGAAAGAAGGGGCGAGCATCTCCAGCCCAATACGAGTATTCCCTCACGACTACAGCGGCGCGGCAGAGCGGCAGGAGTGGTGCGGCAGGAGCGGTGCGGCAGCGGCAGGGGCTTTTCCTCGTCCTCCACCTCCTCTGACTGCCCACGCATGAATGAAGAGATGACACACGCTCACACCGCAACCCACCACCAGGATAGGAAAAAGCAGTTCTCCTCCTCCATGTACACATTTATAGAAACTCAAAGAGCCCAATGAATGGTAGGCTAATAGTCACGACTGGGCTACCCTATAACAATTCTGCCTACCTGTTTCTACGGTCAGATAATTCATACAAGGCATCTTTAATTGAGTTAATTAAGCAAGCATGTCATTCAGCAACAGTGCCGTTAAAAGTATCTCAGTGGCATCCCCCACTGTAAACGTGCTGTGTTTCCGTAAATACTAGCTGCTGCTGTGTGATTTAATGACTGATCAGCACAAATCCTGCTCGGGCTACACAGACTTTTCTCCGGAGCTGATGATAGCCCGCAGGCTCTGTCAGACAGCAGCTAAACCCCAGCAGGTGATACTTAAAGACATCAAACATAGCCCTTAAATGTCCTCTCTTACCTCCCACACATAGCAGGGACATCTCTGATATCGGCGGGAGCGTCCCCGGCTGTCCTCTGCTGAGAGCTCCGTGATTTGTTTGGTCAAGTCCGGTTGTCTCTTGGTTACAAAAAAAAAACTCAAACCGCCAAACCGTTACCGTAAAAGGTACCGGAAACCAGTCGGCATCATGTCAGAAGCGCTCGTCTGTTTCTCTGCGGAGATGTTGCTCTTCTGGCAGGACAAGACACACAGGAGTGGATTCCTCGCCCCCCTTTTCTCCCTCCTCTGCATTGCTTCAGGTCTGCTCTGCTGCTGCTCCTGCGCGCACAGCCATCTTGTTTCAGCAGCAGCACCCTCCGCGCGAGGACAGCTCCCCCGTGCCGCGCCGCCCTGACGTCACGGACGGTTGATGAATAGCAGGCAGGAAGAGAGGGAGGGGGTGGGGGAATACATAATAAACATAATCATGCAGTCAATGATGTAGGCGAGGAATTTCATTCATTATTTTCACAAAGTTTCACTCTTTAGCTTATTGTATTTGATTTGACATGCATATATTTCACTTTTCATTGGTCCTGCAACTAAATCTTGCACTATTTCATTTCTACAAACAGTTTCTTCTTGCACTATTTTATTTGGTTTATTATCATATGTCCTATATATTTATGTTGCATTGTTAGCCTGGGACTTAAGATTGTCATTGCCATAACGACACTATGTGTGCATATGACAAAAAAACCTTTGAGTGAAACTTACAAAGCATTTTAGAAACATTTTCGTATTCTAGTATTTCATAATCTAACCAAGCTTTGTAAAATGCAGTTTAAATGTATTTTTTTTTTAAATAAAATGTATAAACTAGCCAACAATACTCCAGTGTCAGATTGTATATGATTGGCATTATGCAGAAAAAGGGCTTGCTTTGGGGCATCACATTCTCTGCACTGAAGGGCACCCTAGAGCACAGCTGATTTATTTCGACATTATGCAATTCTGATCATTCACAATATTGCAAGGGATGCTCATGTTTGAATCACTCTTTTTTAATAAAAAAATTGCAATATTAAGATGATCATAAGTAGATTTTTTGGAAAATCAAATATGAAACAAATGCAATTTCGATTATTGTACTAGTCTTTAGTGTGATTTTCATACAATTCAAATTATATGTTTAGCCCTACTCGTTATGTAGAAGAGGGTATACGCAGGTAGTATTTCCACCTCCTTTTCTTTCAAAAAGCCATTAAGTTAGGAGAATATCCACTTTCTCCTTATACCGAGTACAGCCACCTTACCATGGGACGACTGGTTTTACTCTAGATGGCAATTTATGAGGGACATCCTGGTGGACCAAATCCTTTTTCAAAGCATTAGACTACTAGCATTAGACTACTAGAAAGAATTCTGCTCCGATTTCTTATCAGTACAACATAAGACAAACTGGATCCATACCAATTTGCCTATAAACAAGGGTGCGGTATACGGAAGATGCTGTGGCCACTCTGGTTCACATCATCACTAAACATTTAGATAAACGCAACACCTATGCAAGAGCCCTCTTTCTAGACTTCTCATCAGCATTCAACACAATACAAGCAGACATCTTGGTGTCAAAAATGGCCAAAATGGAAGTAAATCCATACCTTATTTACTGGTATGCTGCTTTCCTCACTAGTAGAGAGCAACTTGTGAAGGTTAACAAAACCCTGTCATCTGAAATCATTTTTGGCTCACCATCTGACTCCCATAAAGTCCCCATTGTCATCCATACAGATGAAATTACATTACATTGCATTTAGCTGACGCTTTTATCCAAAGCGACTTACAATAAGGGAGCAGGGAGTTTCATACAAATACTTGGGTGTAATGATTGCGTACTATGTTTAATGAAAGTAACCGAGTCTAGTTCAGACTTTAACTGAACGCAGTGTCGTCGAGGTACAAGCGTTGTAGTTTTCTGTTCAATAGGTCTGTGTTATGTACTTTGTGTTTGTTGTTGTAAATTGTATTGTCGTGTTAGTCACTCTCTTTTCGACCGAGTTTCTCGGAAGTCCACAACGTAAACTAGACCTAAAATCGGAGACTAATGACGAACTCCTAAACTGACCTAACGTGTTTCCTCACGGAAGTCAGACTGAAATAAAATTAAACACCCTGGACATAGAGGACTACATCTACCAATCGTCAAGTATAAATGACAAAGTCTTGTACCAAACCCAGTCTCTACTACCAACAACCTGTCGGAGTGATTACCACAAGTACTAGTATATTAGTATCTCAGAGACTGTCCCAACCTGGTTGTTAGAAACTCGTCTAAAAATTTGTGCCAACCTCGGTCAAAAACTAAAATGTCGACGACCTTGTTTTGTAAACATGGTCCATCATAACGTCATGACGTCTTATCTGTTCTAGTGTCTACCAATTTTCTTGTTGTCTCTTAAAGAGACGAGAGGGGTTTTCCTGGATCTGCCGCCTCTTTTATTTAAGAAACAAAACAGGAAAACGAAGTCTATAAGTTCACTAGGAAGGTACTGT